TAGGGTCAGCTTGTTGTGCTTGATGTGGGGAAATATCGAATGACTAAAAATCCACTTGAAGTTGACTTAGAAGAAACGATCCATAGTTCTCTGCATTGTTTCGAGTAGCAGCCCATCAAAGAATGGGAACATCGGAAGCCGTGACCAAGGTCCGGATCACAAGCTCGCGCATGGAGACAAACCTTGTCACCTTGCCACCCAGTTTGATATGCAAATAGATAAATCTTATCGTACTTGCTGCTACTCACCATTTCGAGAGAATCCTGTTCGACCACATTTCCGGCGATGGGCGATGCCCTTTCACGTTGATGATTGTTTCTTCTTTGGCTGAAAGAGCCGTCTCTGTTGCCAGAGCTCCGCCCCAACCAGTACTCCTCTCAACCAAAAAAGATGCAATTCCCTTAATCGATGGATAGTCAAAGAGTAGTGTGGTCGGGAGCACGAGACTAAATCTTTCGCTTAGCTTCTCTTGCATTTCGGTAGCACCAAGGGAGTCGATTCCAGCAGCCATCATCAGTGGGGCGTCCACGGAAAGTTCAGTTCCCATTACTAATCAAATGCACCTGACTACTTGTGGCAACACTTGAGGTATCTCTCGCGCCCGCCAGCCTGTGGGTTGCATCCGAGACCTCTGGAATAGTCCCCTTGAGCTACATGATTGATAGATTGGTGCCATTGTACTTGCTATGGCGGCGCTCTTGATGAAAGCGCGAAACGCAAGCACGGTGCGCTTCGTTGCCCAAGCACGTCCAAGGAGACTGTGCCGCTTACACAACGCATGGTGTGCCGATGCAAACGGCGTGTCGTTCAAGTTGGATATCGGCTGGCACGCTAGCTTGCCCACGTTGGCCTGCTCAGAATCGATCATCCCTTTGTTTTAGTAAATTTAGATCTCACTGTCAAATCTGGTGATGACCTCTCTGTTCCGACCCTACACGAGTCAAGTAAACGCATCTGTGGTCCGGGGTAGTAAAATGCAACTGGACCAAGCCATTCCTTCAAGGTCTTTTGATCGTCGGCCGCCGATGCTCCTAGGAGCTACGAGAACAGAATCTTAAATTTGGGGCCATCGAGAGTGCAGGTGGGGACAGGAACTAGCCTGTGTGCCGCTTGGCTTGGCTTGGGAAGCCCTCCAGAATCGTTGGAAAACACGACAGGACTGGTCCCGTCGTGCATTTACGCACCGACATAGCTACACGTCCCTTGACTTCGTCGGGGGTATCCAGACGGCTACATCTCATGTTTCATGGCTCTCAGGTATTCGCAGCTTGCCCGTCCTGGTTCGACCATCCAGAGTTTTTCTGTGTGTCCTTCCCAGGGCGGGTCTCCTCCCTGAGGTCGTAGAGTAACAAGCCGGGCCTGTGCTCTCGATACAGTTATATCTTGAGATCATCCGAGCAACAGATGATCGCGCAATACCGCAGAGTCGTGGGTGAAGCATGGCGAAGGCTTCCTCGTGGTGGGCTCCAACGGTGTGGCCCCAAAAAATCCTCCTCTTCAAATCAATTGAGCTTTCGATCATGAACTCCCCACCGACTCATCTTCAATGTCACAGAGTGCAGCCCATGGTAGAAAAATTCTGTACGTAACAGGGTCGCACAAAATATGTGCTAGTAAGCACCTGTGCCCACTGACTAGGTGTGGTGGCAATTTCGACGTAGCCCACGCTCGGAAAGAGGATGATGCCGACCGTGTGATCCTAAAATGTGATCCAAGCGAGGGCCGAAAGAAACCCCTCTTTGATCTACGCATCTGAAATTATCTGGATTTACATAGGGAGCTTTGATTCAAACATAGCACTGTTGGATACTCTCGTACCTCTAACAGCCTCTGTTCTGTATAAAGAATGATTCAAAGTTGCTTCTTGTCTTTCTAGAAAACTAGAGCACAAGAATAATGATGAAGTTGCAAATGCGCTGTGCGCGATGGTCCCGGTAGCCCCTAATGAAGTGAGTCGACCGATGAAGAGTCCCGAGTGAGATGGAAAGATGTCAATAACCGCTTGAAGTGTGTCTCCAATGATTGTAATCAAATGAGGATTCAGCCTTCGAACCTGTGCGTTGGAAACAATCCAGCCAGTTGGGAGTGACGCCACGACCACCGAAACAGCCCCAGCGCCACCTGCGACAGCCTCGAGATGGCCCATATTTGCCTTGAGTGATGTGCACGGAACCTCAGTTCCGGATTTACGCAGTGCACCGACAGCAGCACCGACTTCAATGGGGTCTCCTAGCGCGGTCCCTGTGCCGTGTGCTTCAAGAATAGAATGATTGCCTCATACCCCTGCCCGGAGTGACACCGCGCTGATGAGCCGTTGTTACGCTGATCCATTCGGAGCCATCAAACTGGCACTCGGTCCATCACTCTAAACCAATGTCGCGCAGACCTCACAGAAAGCTCATCCTCCCCCGGCCTCATCTAGGACGACCGTGACACAGCCTTCGCCCCGACAGTACCCGTCTCCTCTGCCATCAAAGGTGTGACATCGGCCAAACATGGAGAGCATGCCCTGCCTAGCANAAGCACAAGTAAATATTGGTCCGAGAAGCCCAACCCCCGAGGCTATGCCCCCTCAACATTCGCCGTGTTTCAAGGTAGCAGAAGCGAGATGAATGGCGACCAGTTGCGAAGAGCAGGCTGTGTCGAGGGAAACGCT